AGACTTCTTTGGATAAAAAACGCCCCTAAAAGGTCAGAACCAGGAACCAAACCCGGTCCAGCAGCCGAACCGTCCCTGCTGTGTGTGGACGTCGCGGTCCACCTCCACCGGATCCTCTCATCCTCGGATCCTCTCGGTGGAAACCAGCCGCTCACTTCTGCGCGTAAAAGTCGCGCGTCAGGATCCTGCGCGTCAGTCGGTCCAGAGCCGGCGGAGCGAGCGGAGCGTCTCCAGGGTCCGGAGGGAGGCAGCTCCAGGCGGACACAGCGGCTCGGTTCTAGTCGGTGCTTCTGGAGGAAACTTTTACATCGATCTGCTTTGATCCGAACCGAACCGGATCGTGTTTGTTTGTTTGTTTGTTTGTGATCCAGCAGCGCTTAGATCTGCTCTCAGCGGACCAGAGGCTCGGTACCGGAGACTTTCTGTTGAATCCGGCATCTCTACGTAAGAGGAGCCACTTGTAAAGTTCCGGACATGGACGCAGGCAGCAGATGAAGCTCCTCTGATCCAGTAAGTCCACAGTTCATCACATATTATGTTCTGTTTGATGTTATTTTATGTTCTGACTGAGGATGAAGCAGCAGCTCGTCCCGTTAGATTCACAAACTGGTCGTTTTCAAACATCTGCTGCAGGTTTGAGGAGCAGAAAATAGAAATGATGGAAAATTATTCACTGAAATCAGTCAGACTGAAAGAAACAGAGAGAGGCAGCAGAATCCACATTTATCTGATCGGATCAGAGGAAGAGCAGCTGGTGGACAGATAGACTGCAAAATATACAAACATATATATAAATATATATAAATATATATAAATATATCTGTCTGTGTGTGTGTGTGTAACAGTGGGATGCTTTAAGGCTCATAAACTGTAAGAATTGTGAAAATAAAAGCTAATAACGGCTCATTAATGATGTTTTCAGCTGGTTAAATGCAGTGATGTAGTTTTATCACAACACGCTGTAAAAACATTTCTCAGTTTGTTTCCTGTTATTTTCAGTCAACGTAATAAATGATCTATAATTTAACAAAACAGGGAAAATCTGTAAAACAACACTTAGAAAGTCATTTATGTTTTTCAATCCTTAATAGATTTAAAGTGGTGCAAGACTGTGAAGCTGATGAACTGTAAAAAGTGGTGAAAGAAACAGCAAACATCTGTCAATTATTTATCTTTTTACCAATTTCAACTTTATAAAACAGCAAAATTTTACAGCCACACATTATCAAAGACATAATAATTTTTTAAAAATGTTTGTTTTTTACTGTCAACATATAAATGTAGGCGTTTTTTTTGCTTACATTTTTTAAACTAATGTTTAATTTAACAAAATAGGAAAAATTATATTTGATTATATTTATCAATAATTTAAAATTAAACTAATTATTTACCTTTTTTCCAATTTCAGTAATTTTTCTTTAAACTAACAGTGAATAGATGTCAAATATATTTTTTAGGCTTTAAATACATTAAAAACAACACTATTGGTTAAATGTTGTAAAAGAATGAATTCGTATGTTTTAAAATACAGACTTTTGACTTTTACAGTTTTGACCAATGGATTTATTCTGAAGATGAAAATATCTTTTTTGTGTAATTTTGCTAGTTTTTATTTGCATTTTAACCATTTATACACTTTTTTTTCAGATTTAATGTAAATTTACTGTGATTTACCGTAAAAACTGTATTTATGGTTAAACATTGTGGAAAAAACAACAAAACAACAAAACAAATTAGCATTTTAAGTTTGTTATTTACCAGGAAACGTCAGTAAAATAAGTGAAAGACAAAAGTATCGTCAATAACCCAAAAATTCTCAATTGATTTAACGACACTTAAACCAGCTAAAGATTTGCTTTGTTGTTGTTGTTGTTGTTTGTCACAGTTTTAGCAGTTTTTGAAATGTACAGTTTTCCACCCTTGCTGCCAGATCAGCTGCAGTACCTGACTGTGCCATCAGGTGGCGCCTCATTCTGTTTATTACCATAGCGACCTGAGGAGGTGGAGCTTTACACTAAATTACATAATCCACCAATCAGAGCAACAGGGATCAGTTAATTAATCCATTAATTATCAGCTGTCCCACGACCAACTACACTGTAAAACACGAACGCTTTTAACTGCAACTCTCTGAAGACTTTACTGCTATTTTACAGATTTTCCCTTTTTTGTTAAATTACAGATAATATCGAGTAAAATCACTGAAAAAACGTCCACATGGAAAAATCTGTATTATTTTAGTGATGCATTCCTTAAAATGTGTAGAAAAAATACACACTTTATTTAGCTACACTTAAACCAGCTAAAGATATGTTTTGTTGTTGTTTGTCACAGTTTTTACAGTTTTTGAAATTTACAGTTTTCCTCTCTTGCTGCCAGATCGGCTGCAGTATCAGACTGTGCCACCAGGTGGCGCCTCATTCTGTTCATAACCATATTGCATGCCAACAAACACAGTCAAAGAATTGG